TCATTCAATAAATAGTTCCTGATAACTTTGTGAATCCAATTGTTCCTTATTGCCGGCAGATTTTTGTACCCAAAGCCTTTTGGACCCAATTGTCAGATTAATTGCGCTTGGATAACTTGGATAAAAACAATAAAGTAAGTCAGTAACTAATTTCTGGTTCATTTTAAGACTTCATTGGGTGTATTCCAGCAGCAGTAAGATTTGCATGTTTTACAGGAAGAGCGGTTGCCTTGCGCCACGTCCTGTATATCCTGGAAATATTACTACCGCTTGAAGCGTCACTATGCATATGTAGCTCGGAATACATATAAGATATTTCATATGCTTTCAGATGCACCTATGTACGTCATATGGAATCTGCTTAGAAGTCACTCAAAAAATTATGGTAAACTAGTAATTACAAATTTGTTTTTGAAGTTTGCATTTTGCATTCAACCCTTTCCTTTCAGGTGGCTTTTTGTTCCTGAAGTTTGCAACAATGCAATATTTGTTTAATACGTATATACATACATGTGAGGAGCTATCCGAACGAGCAAACATTGTGGCTTATGTCGAGAGGCTGGCTTTATTATTTGGCCGTTTATTCCTTAAACCACAAGAAATTTTTTGATGACACTTAACTAGAATATTAAATTGCTAGCATCAGAACTATTTCTTTCACGTTTATTTGCCAAGGGTTCTTCAATATCTCGGCATCAGTGCGTCATTCGCAATCGTACGCTGCAAATGCTACCTTATTCGAAAGGCAGCCTCCCGACTACAGCGAACACAGAAATCATTAAAATTTATGTTCAAACAGAATTAATTCAAATATTCAGTATATTTATTAAAATAAGTACAAGGAAACAACTTATCTTTGACTGCTGTTTTGTTCAATGTACCGAAATCTACAAAGTTGTTAGCCAATGCTTGTTTTTCAAAACATGTTTAGTAATTGTTAATGTTAATATATGTTAAAGTTCTGAACACATTGAAAACGACGAGCTACGGACCACAGCTTCCAATTTGTCATCTTCATTATCTAAATGCATTGTCGATGGCGACATGATTTATTTGAACGCGGCAGCGACATCATAAATTTGTATGAGTTTGACATAAAAGAAGAGGAAGAACGTTATCTGTCGCCAGAAAAATAGAAATAGATCTAATCTGGCCACAACCACAGCAGTCGCGTAGCCCGGTCGTCGCCAAAATAATTATCTACATAAGAGTACGTGTTAAAATATTTTGATAGCTGTGATTTGTAGCTCGCCGTTTTCATTGTGTTCGGGCTATAAAAGAAAGGTAATTCAATTGCTTTTCCTTCTATAATAAATTATTTTGGATTAACCATTTTTCTTTGTAAAAATTTGCAAATTTTGAGTACGCCCTATAGATACATGTACGAAAATGTACAAAGTTGATAGCCAATGCTTGTTTTTCAAAACATGTTTAGTAATTATTAATGTTAGTATATATTAAAAGAAAGGTTGTTCAATTACGTTTCCTTACGTAATACATTTTTTTGGATAAATAATTTTTTTTTGTAAAAATTTGCAAGTTTTGAGTACCCCTTATGGGTACATGTACAGAAATCTACAAAGCTGTTAGCCAAGGCTTGTTTTTCAAAACATGTTTAGTAATTACTAATGTTAATATATATTAAAAGAAAGGTAATTCAATTACTTATCCTTCTGTAATAAATAGTTTTGAATAAATACATTTTGTTTTGTAAAAATTTGCAGTTTTTGTGGACCGCTTTATTCGAGTGCAAAACACATGTAGGAAATTTACAATGTTGTTAGGCAAGAATTATTTATAAACAATTTAGTCATTATTAAAGTAATTGCATACTAAACATGTAATTTACTTTTCGTACTGTGATAAATTCTTTTAAATAAATTAACTTTCGTTAAAAGACCCTTCAATCGTACCCGTAGGGGATGAGTCGAGACTAATTGATCTCCAATAATACCCGTATGAGACTAGTTGCGACTAATTAATGCCCAATTGTACCCGATTGCGACTCATCCCGGAATACTCTCTTTAGAGATTAGTCGCACAATTTTTTTGCAGGGTAGTACGTTTCCCAGGAAAGTGTTTGGCGGGCACTGGTCTATATATAAGCGAGTCATTTCAGCATGCTACTGTTGCTGCTTTCCTCAGTCGCGCGCACTGCCCTGCGCTGCACAATGGCTCCTGCTAGTGTAAGAGCGCAGATAAATTGAAAATTTGAAGTGTTTGACATATACTGTTTTTTGTGTTTTTTAA